TATTTTCAATTTATAAAATACTGGGCCTAACTTATTATGATACTAAAATTACTATTATTAACTATTAAATCAATTTTATTTATAAATTACAGTTGTCTGCATATTTGATTCAATGTTTACAYGCCATGAACGATCTTGTATTGAAACGGGATTACAATGGTGCCTTTAATATACATACACAGCTGGTTTCGGGGCCGGAATTTTCAAAAATATCGACTTTCATGCCTTCGTTGAAAGCACTGTTCCAAATGGCATATCAATATAATATCAGTCTTGAAGGATTGTGATCGAACTATTCAAACTTATGTTATTGAAAAACAATTTACATTAGATGGTTAAAAAAAATGTGTATTAATAACACTAAAGCAAGTTAATATTTCTTCAAATGTATTTATATATTTATAATTTATTAAACTGGTGGTACATAAAATGTATTTAATTTATATGTTAATATTTGTGTATTTCTTAAACATTTTTTAGTAATACATTACTTATTTTGTTTTAAAAAAACTAGTTAATGAAGATTGTTTCATGCCTTGGCTAGAACTACTTTTAGATTTTTTATTTTTGTTTTTTTTCTTATCTGCAGAATCTGTTTCTGAAATCTTAATTTTTTTTATGACTGGTTCAATGTTTAATTCTTTCGATTCAGAAATATTGTCATTTCCAGTAGATTCCAAAAGTGATTCACATTCAGTTTCCACAATTTTTACTTCTTTAGTTGTATCTACAAAAGAAACACATCATATAAATTAGTCTATATATACATTGACGACTTATTTTATAGTTAAAGTATGAAGTTAAGTTGAAGTATTTTGTTATCATAAAAATGTTCTCACGGACAAAACCATCATCATCTATAAATGTGGATGTGGTTGTTTGTTTCTCCTTTTTTCGATTCTCTCTTGGTGTTGGACGTGGCGGAGTAGGCTGTACAAAATCAATATCATCCTCAGCATCCAGAACATGTTCTGATCTTTTCATATCTAAAAAAATATAGGTATATTGACAATCTATGAGATTAATTTTAGGCTGATCAATCGTCATCCTATTTTTGCAAAYCACACCCTTTAAGAGGACGTGATATCTGCATGTGTTGTCTTCGTCTTACAAGAGTGCAACAGCAAATTTTACGCTCAGCAGAATACTTTTAGCTCTGTTAGTTTAAAATGTTGAGTGAATTGACGTCTAATAAAATTTAAAGGTAACATTATTATCTTTCAATTTTATTAAATGTCAATTTACTCTACATTTTAAACTAATAGAACTACACATGTTCTGTTGAGCATAAAAATAACTGTGTTACGCACTTGTAAGATGGAGAAAACACATGCAGGTATCACATTTTTTTAATTAAATCTTATTTTGTTGTAGGCTTATATTTCTAAAAGCTTGATGTGTGGTAGCCCAACTATTGCTGCTCCAGTGCACAGAAGCTCACATAAGGTTACAGTTAAATAATTTAAAATAACATGAGTATAAATAAATAAATATTACAAGTACCTTCTTCTTCGCTATTCATTTCTTCATCTGAACTATCAAAAGTTTGGATACG